TACTCCTGGCTTTATTGCATGGTGCTTCTTATCCCCCAAAGCAAACACAAACATCCGCCGAGTGACCCGTTCTTGACACCCTTGAAGCTCACTGCAAAAGCCCTCTTAAGAGGCAGGGCTCTGGTCAAGGGCTGGACTTCGTGGTCCAAGACCATGGCCACACCCTTGATGCCAGCGCGTAGGGTCCGGGCAAAAGCACTGTCCATGATGGTCTCTCCCAACCTTTCCAGGACAAAACTCGCATCAGCATTGAGTTTAGTCTCTGCAGCTTAGCCGGAAACCCTCTCTTTGAAGATCGGGTGGAGAACTGTGACTACAACAAGAAGAGCTGACAAGTATGCCGTGCCCGACAGCCCCACTCATCTCGAGGTGGGACTTGAATCCCTACGGAGCCCATTGGATTCATCCCGTCATCAGCTCATGAAGCTTGATGTGGCATGAGGATCGCAAGACCGCTTCAATGGCTCGCAGCGACGGTTGTCACGCCTTTCGTTTCAGTAGGCTCGGTGTGCCCTTACCCATTAACATGTCGATGTAGATTATAAACAAAGAAGAACCATCGAAACCCGCGCGCGGAAAGGACCTCTCGGACAGCACTGCACTTTTGAATCACTTTTGCATCAAGACCACTCGGAGACCACTCCAAGGCTACCAAAACGGACCATTCCAGGTGCAACCACTGACTGAACTTTTGGTATCCTGACATGAGTCTATTGTATGACCAGTTTGAGACCATTACGACAACGGGGACCGTGCGCCGCTGCTTGCGCTTGGGCCCGTACTGCACTGTCAACACCACCTAGTCTCGTACAGTCCACACAGGAACCCGACAGTACCTTGGACATAGATCTTAAGCTAACTACATCAATATTTAAATGCGGTGTATGTGCATGCATTGTGCATACATGCATACCTGCAAGCACACATATGCATCCGTGCCTACATGCAAACATACATATATCCTGTGCATCCATCCATCCATCCATACATACTTACCTACCTACCTACCTACCTACCTACATACATACCTACATACATACATACATACATCCATACATGCATACATACATTACGTACATTACGTACATACGTACATACATACGTACACATACACATACGTACGTACATGCATGCATGCACACACACACACACCCCTTAGGCTTGGCAAGAACTGATGCTGCGAGGATAGAACTATTTAGTCAGATTACGGCAACCAGGCAGTATCACTTGAATGACTCGGCCACTATGAGAAGCAACAATCTTGAGGGTGCAATTCGGGCGGCCGTTTTGCAGGTACACAAGGGTGATCAGCCCTTGCTTCCCTCTCTGATGCATAGCTTCGTTGGGTACGGTAGCATCAGAGAGCCGAACCCCCCTGCAAACTGAAAAACATGGTTCACCATGTTCAGGTGTGCACACACACACATGCCCAGGTTACGCCTGGGCTGTTGCAGAAGAATGCACTGAGACATTTTCCTGAATGCAGTCACGCGGTACGTGCACAAATGGTGGTGAAAAGCGGATTGAGGTCTGTGACCGGTCTCGTGTAGGGAATATGCTTCCCGTCCTGTTGGAATTGAAATGCTGAAACTTTTGGGCTCCAGCCTCGGGCTTCCCAAATCTTCCATTGCAGCTGTCTGTTTGCGTCATCGATGGTATCGGCCGAGCTGCACTCCAACTGGAAGGTCACCTGCTGCCCCCACTGGTCCTGGGGCATTTTGATGTCAAGCCTGATTCGATTTGGTTCTTCACAAAGTTGTGCGTCCATGGCAGTACGCTTCATAAGGTACAGCTCGCTACACAGAATCGGAAATTTCGAGCTGAAGCGGCGAACTGTTCACTTGGCAAACCTAGAAAAGGAAGTGCACAGGTCAGTATAGCATCAAAGGCGTTGCACGGACTCAGGTCAGAACATCGAAGCAAATCCCTGAATCAAGGCAGTAGTGCTGGCACGGGTGCAAATTGTACATTCGGGCAATGTGAGACATGAATGAAATGACACTTGCATCTCAAGCCAGCGCGAACAAGTAATTTAGCACATGCTTTGGATTTTCGACGGAAATTTGTTCCCTCATTGACGGTGGGACCGGGAGCACGGGGCTCCGCATGCGATACGCTTTGCATGAACAATTCTGGCTCACTGTACAATTCCGAATCAGTGCTGGTAAGCTTGGTAGTGTTGGATTTTTTGGAGCATTGGTGCTTTTTCTTTGTCGGCGAAGAAGTACTGCAAGTACGGCGTCGTTTTCTCTGCTTTGTGGCCTTCTTCTTCTTTTTCATGCAAGAACTGGCGTCATGGTGCGGCTTAGCCTCATCGGTTGAGTACTTTGGAGAATCAAACGCTGAATGCCAAGAGCTGGTATCATCGGACAGGCCAGTTTCATCACGAGCATTGTCATGATCCATCTTATCATGAAAAAGGCTGCGGAGGCATACATACACTCAAACCGCGGAGCATTGACAAATGCAAACTTAATGGGAGCTTCAGCGAAATGCATTTGTTTTGAACCGCTTACTGCTGCACAGGGCTGCGAATGAGTGGCAGTTGCATCTCGGGAATCAGGTCCGCATGGTAGGTAAAGCGGTCATCATACGGGCCGTGAGCCCAGTAACAAATAACGTGATGTCGTTGTGACTCCAGTTGCAGTCTCTGGTAGTCCCCCATGTTGTGGTGCTGGGTGACCCTGGAGACTGCTACATTCCAGGATCGGCATACACTTGCGAAGACTGTAAGATGTGGCAAAGCAGGGGAGAGGTACTCCAACCGCACAAGAACTTGCCCGGGTCGTACAAGTGGTCGATGTGCAAAGTATTGAAAGATGTCAGCGCGATGCACAATGTTTCGGCAGTGTAGACGAAGTTGATCACTAAGATCTCGTCCAAGTTGGTCAATTGGGAGTTGTCCAACTCGTGCTTCTTGCAGCGTGGGAGGACAAGGTGCACCAAACTGCTGCAGCTCGAGGTAGTCGACGTGAAACACACGATAGAAGTAGAAGTTATGTTGCCTAAAGGCAACAAAACGAAAAACAAGATCATGAAGGGCGGAGTTGTCACTCATGGCAAGAGGTGTCGTAGGCTCTACAGCACATACCTTGCTGGAACCACGCTTGAGAAAGGCAAGCACATGCATGTCGACACTTCAGAATGATTGAAAAATTGATCGACACAGCACATGTTTTTATACTGCTGCAAAGAAGACGGTATGGTGAAAGGCTCAATGTCTCATTGAGTGAGGGCTTGAAGCTGCTCTTCAAGACGGTGAACTCGCTGCTTGAGTTCCTGGATCTCGCGCGTGGTAAGTTCAACATAATCGGCGAGGAAATTGCGAAGAGTTTGGTCTCGTAGTACTGAATCATCAGAGAGACATGAACTCTGATCTGACCCGTCTATAGGCTGAGCATCAGGGTCTCCAAGGACACGAAGTAGTGCGTCGGCCAAACCACGCCGATGCTCGTTCTGGTCATCGTTCGTGTCCGCATCGGAGGGACGATCTGCTTCTTGTCGCGACATGTCAAGGGATGTTACAAAACAAAGCCAGTCCCTTGAGCCTGCGGTTCTGTTGCAGAAGCAGGAAGCAAAAGCGCTCACGATCTGGAACTAGCAGGTTCGAAGGCATCTTTTACGTCTATTTGTTGCAACGTGGCATGTTCCAGAATTTCTGGAAAAAGGCAGGATTGTGCACCGGAAGCTTACGTTCCGATGCGAGTGACCAAAGATAACACAGGTCGGCATGGACCTGTGACGCAGGGTAGGCACACTGGCGTATGGTGTGGGCTCGAGCGAGCAGCCCACTGAGTAAAATGTTCGGTGGAGATGCTGAAAGAGGACTCGGCGGGTCCTGAAAATGGCAGCTACGATTGTATCTGATGGTGCGAGCTGGTATGTCCAAGGAGAAGCCGACAAAGTCGTAGGCAGGTTCATCCTCAAGCAAAATGTCACCTCCGTAGAAGTGATTGCTTAGGAACAGGCGGACTCCGGGCAGGGATGCGACTCTGTTCTCCGAAATCCAAAGACGGTTGTCCACATACCGTAAGCACAGCAAACTCTTGTTCATGGCTGAAAAGGATTGCGAAAAGGTGCGTCGCCATACCTCTTCATGCGCCGAGATTACCATGTTGCAAAGAGCGGGGGAGAGAGGGGATCCCATCGGGGATCCATGTGTCTGTACAAATCCTCTCTCTGCAACAGTGAAAAATTGCAGTTGCAAAGAATGAAAGATGATGGTGGGGATGTCGGCAGAATGAATGCGAACCTCCCTGGTAGCCTTTTGCCTTCTTCTTCCACGAAACACTCGCTGAACTTGCTGTTGTTCTTTGACATTCACGGTGTACACAGTGTCGAGCTCCACACCGTGTCGCTGTCTATAGAATTCTCGGGTGACGGTCCAAGCATGTTGAAACTGGGCAGTGGAAATGCTGGTGAAGAAGCCGCTGAGATCCTGGTTTCGGCAATGAATGGCTTCATCGGAGGATTCTTGCATAACGGTTTGCACTTCGGCGATGAGTGCATGAACATCTCCTTTAGCGAAGGATTGGGGGAAGGCAAGTGCAGTCGACCGATGCAGAAGCCGTGCTGTGGCTTCGAGCAGGGGCCGGAGAAAAGCATCAACGAAAGAGACGATGCGTCGTCCCGAGGCAAAGTCCTTCTTCCTCTTAGGAAGAATGTAGGAAACAGGGGTGCGAGCTTGACGTCGAAAAGCCCAAGGGTATCGACGGCCTAGGGCAGTCTTTGCAAGCTTGGGCAAGCTGATGTTCAAAGGAGGCGCCAGGTTCCTTAAAAATGGCTGGGTTTTCGAAGGTACCGGAAAGTGCTTGATGATATAGACAAGGGCAGTAGCAGACTGCCTGCCTGGCTCGGTGATCTTCACAATGCCAAACGGCAGCCTTTGTTTTGGTACGTATGCTACGTATGGCTTCAGCACGGTACCGACCTTGCGCCGCCTGGTGGTGCTGCTGGTAAACATGGTCAAAAACTTCGCGAAGACCCTGGGGCGGACCAGGCAAATCGTTGGCACGGCACCATCGGATCCAGGCCTGCTGGAATTGCTCAAACAATTGGTGAGGCTCAGGAAAGAAATTATTGGCCATAGAGCCATTGAGGCTGTCTTTTTCCACCGTGCTGAAGGTCGAGGAGGTGAAATCCTCGGCAGTGGCTGCGATATGGCCATGAAACACTGGGGCTTCAGGTGCCCAATGACGCAGTTGTGTGCAGCAGCACACGGGCGGGTGCTTGGCAGCCCAAGCACGAAGCGTGTCTTTGTGATTGAAAAGAAGCTGTGAGACATTAGGATGCTTGGCAAACAGGACACTGGTCTTGGGCACATGAAAGGGTGTGACAGTTCGTATGTTCTGAGTGATGTAGGCTCTCATGCAGATGCGAAGTTCCTGTCGATAAGACTCATGTGCCAGGAACGGTGCACGTAGTGGCCGATAGAATCTAGGAGAGCCCAAACCCTTAAACTCTAAAGCAAGAGAAATGTGTCTCACCGCCTGGGGTGCCATGTATGCAGGCAAATGCTTTGCCATGCGATGCAATGCACACAGTGCAGGGTACGTGAACTCGGAGCTGCGAAGCCTTTTGCAGGCTTCAAAGTTGGCTGCAGTGTTGCTGCCCAGCTGGGTCAGCAGGATCCAGGTGGCTTCACGTGTGCGAAAAGTGGGAGTATCAAAAATGGCATTAAGTGGCAGAGGTAGTCCACGCGAAGGCTGGGCGAGCAATAATTTCCTTCGACGTTTGCGAAGGATGCGCTGGTAGCCAATATGCTTGGCTAAAGATGCACTAGGAGGGCGAATGATGCCTTTTTTCGGGCAAAACCATCGAGCAATGAAAGGAAAATTAAGAGGAGGCTGGAGAGTCTGCATCATGGCCTGTTCACGGCCTCGAAGGATGCTGGGATGGACTGCATCAGAAATGGCACTTCCAAAAGGTAGAGTCCCGATCCCAGTAACGAAGGCATAGTTCGGCAGAAACAAGTTTGTCTTGTTGTACTTGTTTGTACTTCCTGTACCGAGAGGCTTCTCGGATGGAGGTGCAACCTTCGGTACTGCCTACATAGTAAAGTTTGGCAAATCTCTTGACCGGGCTGAAACGAAGGTAGAGAACGGGTTGGCGGCAAAACTGTGCAAAGGTGGGAAAGCCTGGCTGAAGTCCAGTTGCTCTGAAGACACCTTTCAGCACATGCAAATCTGGAAGACCTGTATGCACTTCAATCAATGCCAAGCGAGCAACACAAAACCGGGCAAGCCGAAATAGCTGAAAATCAAAATGCAATATGAAAGGTGACAGTTCCTGTAAGATTCTGCGAAGGGAGCGAGCAGCACTCTGTGCGAGGCGGAGGTGCTTTGCAGCAACACGGCCGCGAGAAGGGGCCTGCATTCACCGTTCCATATAGGAGGCAACGGCCATGATGCGAGTAAGAGCAGTCTTTTGCAGCTTGGAGATAACAGTGAGGGGAATACCCCACACTACTCCAATGCGACGGAGCTTGTTGGTCAGCGCCTTTTCCTCGTCGTCGAGAGTGTTAATGTAATGTTCGACTTCACCAATCCACTCCTCAAGCTCGCTCTTCTTGCGATCGTTGATGGCAAGGGTTTGGACCCATGCTCTTAACTCTTTGTCCTGGAACTTAGAAGGCAAATTATTTATGAGCCAAGACGAACCATCACTGGGAGGCTTGAGGATGCAGTCCGGCTGAGGCGTAACATTGGCCGTGCCTTGGGGGGCAGCGGGTGCGGAGCCTTGACTGTTGGGGCTGAATGACAAAGGTGGCTGTCGCAGTGGCTGCCCAGGTGTGGCTGCAGGGGCTTTCGCACTAGCAGGCTCTGCAGAGCCAAGCGGGGAATGCGGCAGGCCAGACGACATGGCAGGTGTAGGGGTCTTAGGGGAAGAGGGGTCTGGTACGTCGGAGCAAGTGGCTTGCTTCATTTGAAGCTTTTGCTGCAGATCTCCAAGCCCAGTCTCGAGTTCACGGATGCGATTGTGAGATTCGGTGTCCGTCTGTCTGCACAGGCACAAGTTTTTGCAGCTCAGCAACAAGATGCTGGGCAAGGGCTTTAGTGGCAATGTTCTTAGCTTGTGTGGCTTGTTGCTGCACGGCAAGGTTGGTGGCGGCAGCATCAATGTCTACATTCTGAGCACGGAGCTGTGTGAGTATCTCGCCAACGAGCACCATTTCGGGTTTTGTGCGAGCGACAAGGAAGTATGCTTCCTTGCCGTGGGCTGTCCATCGAAGCCAGTAGCTGTTCCAGTTCTGAAACAAGAACATGAAAGGATGCAATAGCTTGACTTCGAGCCCTGCAATGCCTCGTTCCTTGGCCCATTTGGTCGAGGCCACGTGCCTGGGCAATGTGAGATTGCCAACACTGCGACGGTTGTCCAGAAAGTCTGGATCGGCTATCCAGTCCTCAGGTAGAACTGTGGCTGGGGGAGCAACAGGTACAGGGATGCTGGTAGAAGGCAAAGTCGGTGCAGCTGCATTACAAGAAGCAGGTGGAGTCTCGAGATTAGTCACAGGGCCAACATGTGTCGGCTGTGGTGGTAGTCCCCCAGGCGAGGGATATGGTCTCGGAAACACTGCACGAGCCAAACCAGGCATGAAACCAAGATTGGGGGAAGGAGCACGATGCTGATATGGATTGTGGGCCAGTGCCCCGGAGGGCCAGTGCCCAGGTGTGAATGAAACCAAAGGAAGAGGTGGTGGGGGTGGTGCTGGCGGGAAGCGGCAGCCTCCCATGCCAGTTCCTCCAATCATATTGGAGGGAATGCCAAATCGAGGTGGTGGAGTGCGGCTGCGGTCCATGTTGTGAGAAAACACGGGGAGCGGGCTACACGAAGCTACCTACAAAACGGCTGCAGAGATCAACAGACAACATGCAAACTAAGGCATGTTCATGCAACAACTGACAAGGCAGAGGCGTCAAATGGGCAAATCTTGTTGCCCTTCGCTCAGAATATGCACTTATAGTGGCAAAGGAACGATGACTGAATTGATGTGGGCATGTGCCGGGTGAAAAGCCCACCGAGTGGGAGTACGTACGACTCCACGTCGGTAAGTGAGACGTGCCTCCTCGGTGGTGTCACTCCAAGAGATCTTGGCATGAACCTGGGCAGTGCGAACAATGCCGGCGATAAGGATCCCCTGGAATCCTTTTGATATGCGTAAGGAATCCTTTTGATATGCGTAACTGGCGATCCACCGCTTGCTTCAGATTATGAAGATCCAGGTCTCCGAGTGCACACTGTCCGTAAAAGCGGTAGGCTGGAAATGAACCTTCGTGGCGAGTACCAGGCATGTGGGGTCGAATGAGGAGCTTATGGAGGATGCTGGTGCCGGCTGGAATATCAGTTCCATGCACAAAAACATAGCTGTGCGTGTTGTCCTGAGGTTGGCCTTCTTCGACTCCAAAGCAGGAACACCAGGCGTAGCAAGGGGGAAGCAAATACAATCCCACAAGCCTGCGACCTGAAACCGCATAATATGCTGCAATTCAAGGGTGCTTGCTGCGGTTCCCGACGCCCAAAAACATGTGAGCGAGTTCCGTGCACATGGCCTTCGGGATGTTGGGCTCGGACTCGTGGATGCGGGCCGATAACTCATCGCATTCGGCCATATCAACGGGTAATGGACGAACTCGTTCTTGATCAGTGAGCTCAACATAAGCCTTGATCCTGTCCTTATGGTCCGCGGCGTTGCCGAGGTAGGTTCTGGTGTCCTTCCAACTTTGGTGATATGTTTGTTGTCGTCCGTGAAGATATGAAGTTGAGGTAGGCGGTGCATTGTACTTGGCGGGTTCCTGACTCGTGGTAGAGGCGGTGGTGGAGGCGGTGGACGAAGAGGCTGACCACTTCCTTGGCGCGCCACAGGCAGGGACCGAAATCCCGGCTTGTTGATGTAAACACTGGCCACGCGTGCTCGGGCGGTGGTGGCGGTGGTGGAGCCGCCAGACTCGAAGAAGGAACATCTGAAGGGTGATCGCTGAGCATGCCCTGTCCCGATACCAGGACAATGGGTGCACGGGGAGGACTGGGGGAAGGTGCGCGCTGCACTGGCTCCTGTTGCACCGAAACACTGCGGGCATGTTGCACTGGAGCTCGCCGGTCGCGAGCTGTTCGCCTGGCTGCACGTCTGCTCGGGCTCCGTCGGCGATGTTGTGAATGGCGGCGATGACGTGCATGTCCACGACCAGGAGGGGAGGAACCACGGCGGGAGCGTGTAGTTCTCCTGGAGTTCATCGATCGGCGCCGAGAAGGTGTGCGGCGGCGGGAGGGTGTTCGCCTGGTAGAGCGGGACCGGCGATGATGGTCACGGTGATGGTGGCGATGTCTCCGCGGAGATCTGGAATCTCGTCGACGCCGGGGGGTCGATTCTCTGTTGCGGTCTCGAAATTGCACCGTGCCCTGTTGCACAGGAAATGGCACGAACATCGGCGGCGGGTACGGCGCCGTGGGTGGCGCAAAAGACGATGAGCAAGGGCCCATGTTGGGCAACGGAATGCAAGCGCCACTGCGGGCGTCGTACAACATCCTAATAAAAGGAAGGCTGCGAAAGAATTTGCACTTTCAGCATGAAAGGCTACGACATGAATGAATGCAGACAGTGAAAACCTTGCAGCCTCCGTCCTACACAGCCTGGCAACCTTCGAAAGAAAACCCAACAGGTTACACTGTTAGAGGAAACCTTGCAGATGCACTCATGTACTTGCAAACAGCCATGTCACACACTGTCACGAACCCTCACTGCCTGAATCCTGCCTGAGTCGCGACACCTGAACCCTTTCTCAAGAAAGCCCTGCACATGCAGTCGCTCAAACAACAAGCGTCGACCCTTGCGCCAGTTCCGGAATGAACAAAGTGAAAGGCTTCAGAAGGCTGCTGCAAATGATGCCTGGCCTGTGATGATGATTCGACCTTATGCTTTGAAGATTTGCTCGTCAACGTCCCACATCCGCTATCGCGGACTCCGGCGTTGCCGGCTATGATCTGG